GAGGCCGCCACTGCAACCAAGGGATCGGGAAGAGCAGCCTCTCGACGAGGAGCCTGATCACCTGGTTGTCGCGCTGCGCCATCAGGAGCGCCATCTCCCGCGGCATGTCGCCTCCATCAGGTAGACGAGTGAGGGCCTGGCACTCCAGATGCCTGTGCCGGAGGTCGCCCCGCTGCCCTTGGCAGAGCTCGCAGAAGTCCGAGGAGGCATACCTCGGGTTGTTGCCGAACTTCCGAACGTTGGTCCATTGGCCGTTTACGATGCACGACCTGAGGTAGCCGCGCTCCTCGTTGGTGGCGGTGGGCCAGCTCTTGCCAGCCTTCGAGGAGGGCCGTCCTCGATCGACCCACTTCCGCAGCTGCCCGAAGTTGATGCCGACGGCCAGCCACGGGGCGTCGTGCTCGCTCAGCTGGCGGGCCTGCCAATCCTCGCAGCTGCGCCGAAGAAGCTTCTTGGTCAGCCACGGGCTGGTGTCGCCGATGCAGCGAACGTCGCCCGCATCGGAGGCCCACTTGCCCAGCTGCTCGCGCTGCCAGCCGACGCGCCGCAGGGAGAGGGCGGCAGCGGAGATAGGCCCGCGGGCCTGACTCCACTGGCCGACATGGCGGACAGCAGCCGCGAAGGCCGTCTCCAGCGCCTTCCTGGGCAGCCACTGCTTCCAGACGGCGCGGTGCAGCGTGCAGATGGGGTCGAGCGTGGCCTTGACGACGGGGTCGTAGCCGGCTCCGACGAGGGCCAAGACCGCGGTGGCGCTCTTGCCCGCGGGCCGCAGCTCGACGGCTTTCCGGCCATGGTTCTGGCCTGCTGGAGCTCGGCGTCGCTCTCAAGCCCGCGCAGCAGACCCCGTAGGCGTAGCTGGCCTCCAGCCCCTGCTTCGCCACCCGGGCTGCGATCCTGCGGCGGCGCGCGGGACCGAGGAGGCGACGAAGCCTCGGCACGCGCCGCGAGGCCTGCTTGAGCCGCCCTTGGCGCACGCTCCTGGACATCTTGGCGCCGACGGCGAAGTCCACGCCCAGGTTGCGAGCTCCGCGAGCCGCGCGCGCCTTGGTAGACGCGGCCAGCCTGCTCTCGAGGTCCTTGGCCAGCTGCGGCGAGTCGGCGAGGGGCACCGACTTCTTGGTAGCCGCGAAGATGTCCACCTTGCGCAGCTCCTTGACCACGCTGGCGACGCTGGCCACGATGGAGTCGGCCACCCGCTTGCCGCCTCCGACTCGCTGGAAGACGAGGTCGTCGACGACGACCGACGGCGCGATGCTCGGCGACGCGCGGACCGCGCGGTCGAGCGGCGTGAGCAGGACCAGCTTCATGAACGTGGTGGCCCACATGTCGCCCGCCATGACCGTCTGATTCGCCTCGATGAGGTCCGAGACGGCTCCGCGGAGTTCGAGGGCCCGCGGGGCCCGATAAAGAGAAATCTGGAGCTTGACGACCCAGAGAGGGAAGTCGTGCTCGGCCGCCGAGTTGATGAGGTGCTGGTGCCCGATCTGCTCGAAAGCCTTCCAGAGGTCAAGCACCGCGGCGGCAGAGTGCCAGTCCGGGTCGGGCTGCTCGTCGCGCTTGGCATTCAGCCACTCGCTGCATACAAGCTGCTGCCACACAGCTCGCTCGCAGGACTTGCCTGCCGCGGCCCACCAGAAGGCCCGCGGGCGGGCGGCCCCCCATTCACAGGCGAGGCCGCGGCGGAGGTGCCCGTGCACGCGCACGAGAGCCGCGAGGAGGGCGATCGGCCTGACGCCGCCCTCCCGCTTGGCGATGAAGACCAGCTTGGTGATGAAGCTGGGCCAGCAGCGCTCGAGCTCGACCCGCTCCAAGAGGGCCGCGATGGCCTCCGCGCCGTCGTCGCCGAGGGCGTCGAAGTGGCGCGGGTTGAAGGTGTCGAAGGACGTGCCCGTGGTCTGCGAGAAGGACGCGAAGACCTTGCGCAACTCCGCGACGGTGGGGCGCGGCGGCCTGGCGCCGAGGCCTCCATCTGGCCAAACCAGATCTGCCGTCATGCTGCCGATGTTCCAGTAGCGCGACCACTCCTCGACGAGGAGCTGCACCGCCTGCATCTGGTCCGCAGGCGTCAGGACAGGGTTGCCCTCCGCCCCACTGCCGCCGTCGGCGCAGGTGGGGCTAGGATGCCACTGCATGGGCTCCTTGGTGAAGGCGTGCAGCGCGCCGCCTCCAAGCATGGCCTGCTGCTCGATCCAGTCGCCGAACTTGGACTTGGCCCGCCTGATCGCGGAGGCGACGAGCAGGTCGCCCACGTCGTCCACCAGCACCGCGATGGCGTGGAGCGCGGCGCACGGCAAGTAGCCGAAGGCGCTGCACAGGAGAGCCAGCGCCTTGCCGAGACGGCTCTGCTGCTGGCCTCCATCGGCGTGCTGGACGTAGCGGTACCAGGCGCGCCGCAGACGGTTGATCTGCTGCCGACCACGCCCATGAGCACCGATGACGTCCAGGGAGGAGGCGTTCTTGGCGACCATGGCCCACTGCTTAATCCAGCACGTCTGGATGTCCAGCCTGGGGTATCGCGGCATCTTGGGCACGCTGGCGCGGACCCAGCGGAGCACGGGAGGGGCCGCTCGCCCCCTGTACTGGTCACCGTGCTCGCTGAGACCGCAGCGGTCGATCAGCTCGTCCTCAGCGACACTGATGACGGCTTGCCACGCGTCGTCGACGGCGGGGGCGTGCGGCACAGCTTGCCCCACGGCGGCCCAGGCTGGGCCGAAGTCCTGGGAGCAGCACCCAGGCGTCAGCGGCCGCGGGAAGGGCACCACAACCCGCATGTACGCCACAGTGCCTGCGTACACCGCAACAGCAGTGTGCGACGCAGCACCTGTGTACACCAATGCTTGCGTGCACCATAGCGCGGGTGTGCACCACAGCGAATGTGTAACAGCGCAGCAACCATGTGCAACGCAGCGCCTGTGTACACCAGAGTGGTTTCGTGCACCGCAGCGTCTGTGCGCACCACGGCGCCTGTCTACACCACAGCATCCGCGTGCATGCAGCGCCGGTGTACACCACAGCGCCTGCGTGCACAGGACAGGTAGAACGAACATGTAGGTGAGGATCTGCTGCGGTCGCGCCAGAGAAGTGCTGATAGTAGAATGCGACGTTCTTCCCTCCTCCCTCCTCCGCCGCCTCCACCTCCACCTCCTCCTTCTCCTCCTCCTCCTGCTCCTCCTCCTCCTCCTCATCCCGATGCGGATCCCCATGAGATTCCCGATGCGGACCAGGTTCCTATGCGGACTTCTATGCGGACGCCGATGGAGATCCAAATGCGCACAGCGGCAGTGCCTGGAGCGCACTGAGGGGGGAGGGGCGTTACATCATAGGAGGGGGCCGGGGGCTATAATGCCCACTATGCCCCAAACAATAAAGAAACACGCTTTTGCAGGAACGTTCCAGAACTGGCCAGACTGAAACAGGCTGAATCGAACGGACGCGAACCAGCGTTCCCCCAAAACGAATCGAACCGAACCGAGGTGGTCGTGGTGGAGGCCCTCATCGAACCGAACCAAATTCGTCTGTGGATCAGTCAGCCTCGAATCGGTAAGTCGGATCAGATCGGAATGCAAGCTGGATCGGGCCGCACCAGCACAGAGTCAAAATCGAAGCGGATCGGCCGCGGCGGGATACACAACGACGCCATGTGAGCATCGGGCCGCATCAGATCGCCTGAATATCGGATTCGAATCAGATCGGGCCGAATCGGATCGGACAATGGGGCTCAAGACCCGAAGCCGTTTTGGAGGGGCCCTCTGGCCGTGTGGGAGGCGTCTTGTGGCCACGTTGGGGCTCCGTTGGGGAGGCCTCTTGGGGCATCCTTGAGCGATGTTAGAAGTCCTCTGAGGCTGCCCAGGGGCTGTGCTGTGCCGCCTTCAGGAGCTGTGTGCGCTCGTGGGCTCTCTTGGGGGTGCCTGGGGGTTTCTTCGGGCTCCCCATGAGGACCTGCAGGGGCCTTCCTGGACCGTCTTGGGCCTTCTTGGAGCCCGCTTGGGCCGTCTTCGGGCTCACCTGGGGGCTTCTTGGGCTGTTTTGGGGCGGTTTGGTCGCATCATCACCTACATCATCATCAACAGTATCATCAATGCCAACATCAACATATGATCAACGAGATAGCCATGATCATGGTCGTTGGCGTGATCGCTACCGCCGCTACTGATCTAGCCCCTCTTCCTCACACATTTCTGGCCCTCACCCGTTCCTCCAGTCTCTCGGCACTCCTCCATGTCGTCCTGAGGAATCCTCCCTCCCCTCCCCACCTCATTCATTCGCACGCCTTGCCCCCATTCCCCAGCCTCCCCGCCCCCACTCCCCGCTCCCCTCCTGCATTCCGCATCTGCCGCGTTCGCCAAAGAGGCTGCTTCGATGAGCATGGCACACCCACACGTATACTATGGCAGTGAATGCTGACGACAGAACGACTCCGCCGCCCCTCAACTCGGGCGCGGGACGATTTCCCACCAGTGTCAGGTTGACTGGCCGTCTCCTGTCGCTCACGCTCACCCTGATCAAACGCCCACACCCGCCTTTGCACACACCCTCCACCCCGTCCTGGGCCATGCCGGCCCCGACGCCATCTCGGGCCCCATCCCCCCCATAGCCCCCCCCGCCCCCCATGAGGGGCCAAAACGGCGCAGGACACACCCTCCCCACGCCCCGCAGAACGATCATGCGCGCCTCTGTCCCCAATGCTCTCTGGCCCCGCCTGGGTCCTAGGGCCCCCCCCCCCAGAGGGGCCAAAACGGCGCAGGACACACCCTCCCCACGCCCCGCAGAACGATCATGCGCGCCTCTGTCCCCAATGCTCTCTGGCCCCGCCTGGGTCCTAGGGCCCCCCCCCCCCCGAGGGGCCAAAACGGCGAAGGACACACCCTCCCCCATGCCCCGCAGAACGATCGTGCGCGCCTCTGCCCCCAACGCTCTCTCTGGCCCCGCCCGGGTCCCACTGATCATCGGACGGGCCCCGCCGGCCCGACCCGAACAGCCACGCCGCGCGGCGGCCCAGCCTGGCCGCTGCCGTAGACCGGCTCCGCGACCTTGCGGAAGCCAGAGGGCGGGGGGACTGGGGCGAGGGCGGTGAAGGAGGGAGTAGGGCAGCAGGCAAAGGAGCGGAGGGGAAAAAAAAAAGAAAAAAAGGACGGGAGAAGGTAACGGAAGGATCCCGTGGGAGGAGAAGCAGGAAAGACCTCCTGACCGGGAAATACAAAACCTGGACGCCATCCTCTTTATCCTCCTTCCTCCCTACTCCACTGCATGGTTCTCGTCATAATCCTTATGGGCCTATCTCCCCCTCATCCGGGCTCCTCATCACCCCTCATGCCGCATCCCGCCTCGTTCCTACAGCCTTGCTCCTCCTCATTTTCCACAGCATCCTCACAATCATACCATAAATAAGCACAGCAAGACCATAGTGCATCGCCGTGCAGTGTCATCATCATCATCATCATCATCATCATCATCATCATCATCATCATCATCATCATCATCATCATCATCATCATCATCAGCATCATCAGCATCATCATCAGCAGGGTCATCATCACCAGCACCATCAGCATCATCAACAACACGATCACCTCAATCATCAACAGCATCATCATGATCATCATCCTCATAATCGCCATCATCATCAACAACAGCCTCATCAACATCATCATCGTCATCAGCGGCCCCCTCATCATCATCATCATCATCATCATCATCATCATCATCATCATCATCATCATCATCATCATCATCATCATCATCATCATCATCATCATCTCTATCATCGTCATCATCAGCATCATCATCAGCAGCATAATCATCAGCATCATCACCCGCACCATCTCAGTACTACAGCATCAGCACCACCATCATCAATACCTAACTATACCCATATCAGCATCAGAACCATCACATACATCAGGATCACCAGCAGCAGCAGCATTCGTAGCCATTGTGGCTCAAGGCTGACGTGGGTTCAAGAGACTGCGAGTCCTATGGGCGTACCGAGCGATAGGATCGCTCTGACGTCGAGGGCCAGCCAGTCAGGGTGTTCAATTTCGAAATCTCGACTTCACTACACATGTTCCAGATCCTGCCGCGCAGGGCGGCCATGGCATCGGCTCTTTCGAGCCTGGGCAGTGGCGACGGCATTGGCGGTGGCTGCGGTGGCGGAGGCAACCGGCGCGGCGGGACTCGGAGCCCACGGCGGCGCCAGCCACGGATAGTCGGCCTGATCATCGTATTTTGGCCTCCTCGCAGCTCAACCCTCAATGGCGTCGCGCCGACGCTCGCGCGCGGCCTCAGCGATGGCCTCCGCCCCGTGGGACACGTGGAGGCCGCTGCCCCTCGGCTCTCGGGCCTCCACTCGGCCCTCCGGCGGCCGTGCCGGAGCGCTTTCGACGAGGCGCAGCTGCTGGAGAGCTCTCGGGACGGAGCAGCCCGAGGCTGGAAAGCCGCCGAGGACCGACGAAAACACCTGAAAAAAAAGGGGGCCGCACGCGGACCCTACCCCTACCCCCCACGATTTCTGAGGGGGAGGGTGGGGTTCAATTCGCTCGGGAGCTCCCGAGCGGAACCCCACCCTCCCCCTCAGAGATCGTGGGGGGTAGGGTCCGCGTGCGGCCCCCTTAACAAACAACAAAAGATGAGCCTCTGCCGAAGCCTTGCCCCTCTCCACCGACTCGAGCATGGACGAAACCGGCTCAGCGCAGACCCCGCCGAACGAGTGTGGGAAGCACTGCGCTGCCGCTGCTTGGGGGGCGTCCCAGACCCAGCTCAGCCAGCACGTAGGGCCCCATCCAGGGCCGCGAGCGACTCTCGAGCCCGACTCGGCCAACGCCCGGCAATGGCAACATCCTGCAGGCTCGGGCACTCCGGCTGGGCCCCGCCGAGGGGTCCCAGAACGGTGCGGCGACGGACCCTGCGGTGACCTCGGAATCCCAAGAGGCCACACCGCACGGTCCGTCACTGCACGGTCTTGGGACCCTGGAAGCCCCCGTCGCCCGAGACGTCCTCGGATGACGGCCCAGGTCTAGAAGAGGAAAAATCCGCATAAACATAAACTGTTGGCGCTTCGCGCAGATTTCTTGGATTCGCGCTGGACTTCCCTCCCTGGAGCGCGGAGCGCGCCAGGGGCGGCGACGGAGGCGCCGCCTGGGGTCCCAGGCGCAGATCCAAGAAATCCGCGCGGAGCGCCAACATTTATGCTTGTGGTTTTTGCTCCTTCGATCTACATCGCCCCTGCATCGTCGACACATGCCCCATGTATCGTCCAGACCGTCGATGCATCGCCCGTGCAGGTCCGCTGGGCAGCGCGCCCTGGTATCAACGATAAATCGTCGGCGGTGGACAAACCTCACTTTAGTAAACCACCCTTTAGTGAAGACGGCCTAGGACCTAAACCGACGGACCTGGACCCGCAAACATTATGGCCGCGACGCCCTCTCGTGCACCGAGAACGGCTAATTCGCTAATCGACGTGTCAGGGTTGGATGTCTATCAACCTCCGCCATCTACATAGCAATCGTTCGAGGTCGATAAATGTCCGCCCCTACGCCCATCCCCCCCGACCATTGCCCCTGACACCTCCTCGAGGGCCCCGTCAAGCGGCTGGCTGGCAAGATGTCTATCCATGGCCACTGCGTCCTGGCGTTTGGGAGTCACTCTCCCAGGAGGCCCCAAGAGGCAACCAAGAGGCCTCCAAGAGGCCCCCAAAGAGGTTCCCAAGGGGCCCCAAGGGGCTCCCCGAAGCACCCAAAGCGGCTCCAAGATGCCCCCGGGACTGCCGAGAGGCCCCCTCAAGACGATACAGGAGGCCCCCCAAAAGCTTCCAGGAGACATCCGAGGACACTCTGAGAGTCAGCCCGCGGGGGGCATCGTTTGTGGACGGGCTGGTGGGGATACAGTGGAGGCCAGTCCACAAGAAACCTTCTACACGAAACCCAACCCTGAGACCCCAGGACGTCACGCCTTCCACCGAAACACCATCGCAACCCAAGAAACCCAGAGCACCCTGGAGGCAAGCAGGGTGGTTCTTGGCATGGGCCTCCACTGTACGCAAAGCGTCAAGAGTTTTGGAGCCCCTTCCCCAGAAACAAGAGGCGCAAGGATTGTCCACGTCCACTGCGCCTCGACCTTTTGGCGCCCCCTCCCAGGGATCTTCTGACCCAGGCCAATCCGTACCGGGGTCAGTCAGGCCTTGCAGAATCCTGCAAGATCCTGCACCTAAACCCGGGTCAATGCGAAAGATCCTGCAGGATTCTGCAGGATCCTGCACCCAAGCCCGGGTCAGAGCGACCCCCTGGCCCTGCAGGATCCTGCAAGATCGGGCGCTCTGGCTGGCCCCCGTTTGGGGAGACCAAAAAATACCGATACCGCTACTCACCAGACCTCTCCTGGTGTGCGTTCTGACCAGGATTTCGAAGCGAATCCAGCGGTGGCGACGAGGGCCGCCTGGGAGGCCGACAAAAAGGCCTTTCCTCCTCTGACCGTTTGCATTGACCCCTGTCCCTTGCGCCTCGACCCTCCTGGAAAAGTCCCCGACCCGGCGGGCCAATGAACGCGCGCGCGGGAGGCCCCCCCGCTGCACGGTTGCCCCCGGGGCCGTAGGCGACCCGAGGAGGAGGAGGAGGAGGAGGAGGAGGAGGAGGAGGAGAGGAGGAGGAGGAGGAGGAGGAGGAGGAGGAGGAGGAGGAGGAGGAGGAGGAGGAGGAGGAGGAGGAGGAGGAGGAGGAGGTAGAGAGGAGGAGGAGAGGAGGAGAGAGCGAGGAGGAGGAGGAGGAGGAGGAGGAAGGAGAGGAGGAGGAGGAGGAGGAGTAGGAGGAGGAGGAGGAGGAGGAGGAGGAGGAGGAGGAGGAGGAGGAGGAGGAGGGAGGAGGAGGAGGAAGGAGGAGGAGGAGGAGGAGGAGGAGGAGGAGGAGGAGGAGGAGGAGGAGAGGAGGAGGAGGAGGAGGAGGAGGAGTAGGAGGAGGAGGAGGAGGAGGAGGAGGAGAGAGGAGGAGGGAGGAGGAGGAGGAGGGGAGGAGGAGGAGGAGGGAGAGGAGGAGGAGGAGGAGGTGAGGAGGAGGAGGAGGAGGAGGAGGAGGAGGAGGAGGAGGGGGAAGGAGGGAGGAGGAGGGAGGAGGAGGAGGAGGAGGAGGAGGCTGGAGGAAGGAGGAGGAGGAGAGGGGAGGAGGAAAGATGAGGGAGAGGAGAGGAGGAGAGAGGAGGAGGAGGAAATGGGGAGGGGGAGGGAGGGAAGGAGATGGAGATGGAGGAGGAGGAGGAGGAGGAGGAGGAGGAGGAGGAGGAGGGAGGAGGAGGAGGGATGATGGAGAGGAGGAGTAAGAGGAGGAGATAGAGAGGAGGAGGAGGGGAGGAGGAGGAGGAGGAGAAGGAGGAGGACGGGTCGCCTAAGCCCTTCGGCAAAACCCTCCACCCCGGGGGCGCAGCCTCGCCGCGGCTGAGGGCCATGGTCGCCTCGCGCCCTCGCAGGGACCTCGCGGGGGGCGCGGCCATCTCGCCACGGCGCGGAGAGAGAAGTCGGGAGGGCCGCCAGGAGGGGGGGGGCGGGCGGGAAAGCCCGGGAGGAGAGGGGCGGGGAGGGCGGAGGAGGAGGAAGGAGAAGGAGGAGGAGGAAGAGGAGGAGGAGGAGGAGGGAGGAGGAGGAGGAGGAGGAGGAGGAAGGAGGAGGAGGAGGAGGAGGAGGAGGAGGAGGAGGAGGAGGGAGGAGGAGGAGGAGGGAGGAGAGGAGGAGGAGGCGGAAGGAAGGAGGAGGAGGAGGAGGAGGGGGAGGAGGAGGAGTGAGAAGAAGAGGAGGAGGAGAAGGAGGAGGGAGGAGGACGAGGAGCCGAGGAGGAGGCGGAGGAGGAGGAGGCGAGGAGGAGGAGGGGAGTAAGAGGAGAGTAAGAGGAGGAGAAGGAGGAGGAGGAGGAGGAGGAGGAGGACGAGGAGGCCGAGGAGGAGGAGGCGGAGGAGGAGGAGGAGGGAGGAGGAGGCCGAGGAGGAGGAGGCGGAGGAGGAGGAGGAGGAGGAGGACGGGTCGCCCAAGCCCTTCGGGGAAACCCTCCAAGCGGAGGAGGGAGGGCGGGCGAAGAAGGGCGGGTGGGAGGGGAGGGCGGGCAATCAGGGAGGGTGGAGGGAGGGAGGGAAGGGCGGAGGGAGGGCGACGCGCAGGGTCCACACTCAGAGGCACGAGCTGCACGACCACGACGGCCCAGGCGGTACATCTGCTGAGGCAGCCTGGCAACAGCCGCCAGGAGTAGCAGCAGGGCGTGCGTCGGCCCCTCCGCCGGGACAAGGGGAGGACGAACTTTGGATTCGGGTGCCAGCGTAGGAAAGCTGCGAGAGGGGCGCGGACGTCGCAGATGCCCTCTGCAGGCTCCGAGGCCACAGCACCGGAGCGGCTTGGTGCCAGGTGTGGGCGCGTGAGTTCGTGCAGGGCGTGCATGGGCTGCCCGCCAAGGCGGCCCACTCCCGGGTCGGCGTCCACAAGCCTTCGCACCACTCCGGCGACCTGGCCTGCGCGCCTGCCCTCCGTGGCGGCGCGCTCCCTGGTCCAGAAAAGTCTGCGTCGATCAGGCGCCCCTGGCTGCGGACTGCCCTCCATGGTTTGAGCAGGGACCGACCGTCAAGGCATTCCTACAGGCCTACCGAGACATGTTCTTAGAACCCCAAAATGTTCTGAGAACAAAAACAATGTTCTTGGAGCACAAACCCGATGAGTTCAAACAAGACAACCTCGGCCAGAAATGTTCTAAAAACATTTCGCGCAGACCACGAAAAGTCCTTCGACCATTCTCTCGTGGGACTATCGGCAAGCTGGGACGCTTCGCCACGGCCTGAAAGTGATTGCGCCGATCCAGCGCCCCTGGCTGCGAACTGCCCTCCATGGCAGCGCCGGTGCCATCCGGCTCTGGCGCCCGACTTCCTCCGAGCAGGCGCGGCCTCGCCCTGCGCGCTGCCTCTCCCAGGGAGGCGCGCGGGCCAGCCCCCCGCCCCCGCGCCCCTCCATGGGGCCGGCCAGACCGCAGTCGCCCACTGCGGCCGGCCTGCTGCCCGCCCCGCCAGTTGTGATGAGTGGACCTGTCGGTCGGCGGCGACAATAGTGGCGAATAGCCCAGGAGCGGCCATTACGCGTATTCGCCCGGGAGCCTTTTCGAAGACATAGATCATCGGCGCACCTGAATACATGTATTGCTCTCCCCTGGGCTATTCGCGGCCCCTGTCGTCGCCTCTGAGTCGGGCCGGCGACCGCCTTCTTGCCCCCCCCTCGCGCCCGCCTTGGCGCAGCTCCGCGCGGACGCCGCGTGCTGGCGCTGGGACCTGGCACTGGCCTCGCATCCGGCAGACGCCAGCTTGGTGCAGCAGGGCCTGGCGCAGCTCAGCCACGTGACGAACAACCAGACATGTACCTCTCGTCCCTCGCAGCTTCCCGGGGCTCCTGTGCCGGCATGCTGCAGGCACCTTGCTCCCCACGCTCTCAGCGCCTGCGGCCCCGGCTAAAAACCGTAAGGATGTGGCCGTGAGGCCGCCCCGCGTCCACTGCCCTGGCACCGCGTCCCTGGCAAGCCGCACTGGCTCGCTCGCCAAGGTTTTTGTCCACCCGTGCATGCCGTCCCCCCTCTCCGCTCCCTCCGCGGCCGCCCGGCCTTCCCAGTCCCCCCCCCTCTGGCATCCCGGGAAAAAATCGTCTGTCGTGCGTCCGCGACTGCTGCGACCGCCCGTTCGGATGAACTCTGCCGTGCTGCGAGAGAAAAAATGCTGTCGTGCTCCGTACTGGCGTGCTGCTGATAGCAATGAGCACGAATAGCGTGACGAAGCAGAGTGGTCGCGGTGCGGGGCGGGCAGCCATGCCGTGGTGAGCGGCGGGGTCAAGACGCTGAGGTCCTGTCGGTTATGCGTTCCTGCCGGAGACGGTGCGCCAAGCGAGCGACGATCAAAAACGGGTCTTCTTACGCGAGATGACACAGCGGCTTGACGCCGCACCCTACGCGGGCCGCCAGCGCGGCACGCTGCGCCGGAGACGAGGGCGCCTACGCGCGAGCTTACGCGGGCAGCTTACGCGCGAATGTCTAAAGGCCCCTCCTGGATGTGGTCCGAGTAGATGGGTCGGAGGATCGCGCCGCATCGCCGATGCATCGGCGATGCATCGGCAATGCATCGGCGATGCATCGGCGATGCACCGGCGATGCATCGCCGACATCGGCGATGCATCGGCGACATCGACGTGAAGCAAATCGGGCTCCACATTGAGCCGCATCGGCGATGCATCGGCGATGCGGCGCGATCCTCGGACCCCACATGCTCCGACGCCATCTGGGAGGCCTAGAATGTCGGCGCAGACGACCCCTTATCTGGGGCATCGCTCAAGTGCTTCCGCAGTAGCTTCGTCCTCGAGGTCAGCGTCGTCGACGCATCCTTATTCGCAGCTGGTGCTAGGTCGGGCGTGTCCTCCTAAAGGCGGACTTTGGGCGGAAAATGAAAGATACCCCAAAAAACGTTAAAAGATGTCAAACAACAAATACTCATTAATAGTCCCCACACGATTTTGACTATTTGGGAATATTCCTCCTGTAGAGGGACAGGCCCGACTTAAAGCTGGTGGGGGCAGGCATGTGGTCAGCCTCGCCTGCAGGCATGGCAGGAGCGTCGAAGCGCCGAGGGGCGGGCCAAAAGTGCACCTCTTCGCACGGGCGCCTGGGCGCTCGCGGCGGCAGCGGTGCTGTAGGTAGGCCTGGCGTCGGCGAAAGTGCGTGGCACCCTGCTCGTCGGCCGGGAAAGGCGCGACAATGCTGGACAGGGCTGGACCTAAACGTTGTTGTTCGTCTCGGTTTCGTGTTGTGTTTTTCGTTCTGCTCCAACTGCTTGTTCCTGCACCGTCCCTGCCGAAACAGAACACGGCCGAAGTCCAGAAAAGCAGCGTTTAGGTCCAGCCCTGTCCTACACCCTGCGAAATGCTTAAGAAATCATGGGTTAAGAAATTCATAATCTCAGAACTTGAATAAAAACCCAACGCTTCTATTCAAATCTTAAGATTTACATTGAAACGTTAAGAATAATCGAGACTCGGGCCGAAAACTCAAGTTTTCTTAAACATCGCCTACGGTGTACTCGTCAGCCAGGAGAAGCGCGAAAATGCTGGAAGGCACGTGCCGCGCGTGGTCTGAGGCGACCGTCAGAGAACCCAAGCCTGCGCACACATGCAGGACGGGCACCGACTCCTGCTGGCGTGCCGGCGTCGCAGGGAGAGGGCAATGGGGAGAGAAGAGAGGGGAGGGAGGAAGGGTGGAGGGAGGAGGTGCAAAACATGAATCAAAGGTCAATGCCTCAGTCAACAGCTATTTCAAGGCAAGGATCTCAGTGCATACACAGAGAAAAACGAATAAAAAAAGCATTAACATCCGCGAGTTGAACGGCCGCGACCCCCCCCTTTCTCCCTCTCCTCCCTTTCCCCATGTCCTGCCCCAATACGCCCCCCCTCCCCTCATCAGACTTGGAACGCGGGCGAGCTGCGGATTCGATACCACTGTGGCAACCAGGACAAACGCCATTATGTGACGAACGATCAACATGCACCCATACCCATAGGGGGGACGTAGGGCCTACGGGTGCATGTTGTCGGAGGGGGGTCCCCGCTCGAACTGGAGCCTCCCCCAGGGTCCGACAACCCGCACCCATACCCATGGCAAGTCCTCTTCCCTCCGATCATCCGATGGGTATGGGTGTGTTGTTCGCTCGTCGGATAGATCTACTTGTCTCAAACCTCACCGCATATTAGGGAAGAAAGGATCAAACAAATCAATTGATTACTTGTACCGTGTATCGAATAGCGGGCCGAACACACGCACACACACACATGCACGACTGGATCTTTAGAACCCCCTGGGGAGATTGCAAACTAACAGAATTCCTTCCCGGTGTGCCGCTACGGGTGCCGGACGGATGGGGCAGAAGGGAAAAGAGTGGAGGGGGCAGGGAGAAGAGGGAGAACCAAGCAAGAAGGAGCGGAGAGGAGAGCGGGAGGGCGGAGGAGAGGACGACAGGAGAGCCGGAGAGGAGGGGAAGGGTGGAGGTGGGGGAGAGGGAGGGAGGGTGGAGGGGAGAAGGGTGGAGGGGGGAGGGGCGAGGAGAAGAGGAAGGGAAGGGTGGAGGGGGGGAAGAGGGAGGAGAGGTGCAGAGCACGCGCTCCAGCCGGCCGAGACGCAGCGGCGGCCGCAGGCGCCGCAGAGGGGCCGCGGCGCGGCTGCGGCGGTCCTGTGCAGCAGCTGCGGATGCAGCTCGCGGTACTGGCGCCGCCAGTGGGAGAACAGACAGGAAGCGACAGAGAGGGGGGGGGGAAAGAGAGAGACAGAGAGAAACACAGATAGTGAGAGAGAGAGAGAGAGAGAGAAAAAAAGAGAGAGAGAACGAGGCAGAGAGAGAGAGAGAGAGAGAAACAAAAAAAAAGCAGACCGACTGAGAGACAGAGAGAGACACATGCATACATACATACATACATAAAAAACATACATATATAGTCATATGAGAGAGAGATGGGCGAAGAGAGAGAGAGAGGACATACTGAACTATCGAGAGAACGATAGACTTAGAAAGAGAGACAGAGAGAGCGAGAAAGAGTGACACACACACAGGCAGAGAGAAAGAGAGAGAGAGAGGGAGAGCGAGAGCGAGAGGAGAGAATGAGAGAGAGGAGAGAAACGAAACACATAAACGACATGCATGTTTGCCAGCGAGGACCCACAACCGGAAATGTTCGCAATACGCATGCGCAAACTGTGTGGCGCAACATATGTGGGGTACGCTATGTAGCGCAACATACGCGGAACAAGCTATGTGGTGCAAGCTATGCGGTGCCAGCTAGGTGGTGCAAGCTATGTTGCGCAAACAATGTGGTGGAAGCTGTGTCGCGTAAGCCATGTAGTGCAAGCTATTTAGTGTCAGCTACGTGGTGTGGTCAAGCTATGAGATGTGAGCTACTTGATACCATACAAGTGGTGTAAGGTGGTGTAGACTAGGTGTCGTGGAAGCTGCGCCGTGCAAACCGGGGGGTGTAAGATATGTGATGGAATATAGAAACCACGTGGTAGCAAGACACGATTCGGAAACTCAATGTGGTGAACAAATATGTGGTACAAACTATGTGGTGCGACACACGTGGGTACGCTATATAATGGAATGTATGCGGTACAAGCTATGTGGTGTAATATATGCGGTGCCGGCTACGTGGTGCAATATATGTGGTGCTCGCTATGTCGTGCAAGCTGTCCAGCGTAAACTATGTGGTGTGGAAGCTGTGTCGTACAAACAGCGTGGTGCAAGCTGTGTGATGTAAACTATGTGATGTAAACTGCGTGGTAGCAACAAACAGTATGATACATCACTACGTGAAGAACATATGAGTGGCGCAAGCTATCTTATGCAAACTATGTGGTGCAAGCTGTGCGCCACCCAGTCGGGTACCGCTCCGAAGACTCCCCCGCTTTAACCTTTTGGTCGATCGCGGGGCCCGCTTCAAGCCTCTTGGGCCCACTTGGGGGGCCTCGTGGCCGTCTTGGGGCCATGTTGGGGAGATCTTGGGGGTCTCGTGGGCCGCGTTGGGGATCGGAAGATAGAAAAGACGAGATCGCGAACCCTCGGAAAACTGACAGACAACCTGAATGAGTTCTCCTCGCGGAGTTGGGGCACTCTTGGGACGTCTTGCCAGCCTCCTGGGATACATTTGCGGCATTGGGCCGTCTCGGGGCCATCTTGGATCGTCTTGGACCCTCGCGGGGCACCCTTGGGTCGTCTGGGGACCGTCTTGGAGCTTCCGTGGTGCTCCAGGTGCCTCCTGTCGGGGGCGTCCAAGAAGGGAGCGTCCAGGATGGGGGGCGCAAACCATGGCCCGAGGCATGTGCGCGGACCAGGGGGGGGGGCCAGGGAACGTACCGAAATAAGACGAGGCGCCATGAAATCTGGGGAGATGTCACGGCCCTTCTCCATGATGTCCACCCCCCCCCCAGTCATCACCCCCCTCTTCGCCGCTCCCGATCCTGGGCAGGGAGGCGCCGGAGGGGGGGGAGGCGCCGCTTCGTTTGCGCCGTGGGCTTCTAGTGTGCTGCGGCTCCGGGGCCTCAGGGCTGGGTTTCCAATATCTGGGAAACGATCGGCCCTACGATCTTCTCGGCTGCTCCCCAACTCTAATCATCACCACGGCTGGCTCTGGCCGTACATCGCACACCGCACGACAATGCGTACATGGGCGAGCACAATAATAAGAAAAACTGCTTTGCTGCTGCAGCTGGCTGTCCGTGTTGATCAAGCTGCGCGCGGCCATCGCGACGCCTGAGACGCCAGGGCAACACATTGTCTGACACGGCCGCCTCTTGACACGACCCCCCCATCCGACTACCACGACACTTCTGCTCCTGCCCCCTTTGCCCCGCCCTCCTCCAACACCCCATCCCCACCTCTGGGGCGGCCAAGACGGGGGTGTCCAGGAGGGGGGGCGCAAATCATGGCCGGCGGCATGTGCGCGGCCCAGGGTGGGGGCCAGGAACGTCATGAAATAAGAACAGGCGCCATGAAATCTGAGGAAATGTCATGGCCCACGCCATGATAGCCACCCCCCCTAGTCTTTACCCCCCCCTTTGCGCCCCCCGATCCTCTTCCCCCGCCCTCCTGCAACACCCCACCCCAACCCTCGTCCTGACAAATGATCCGCCGCCGGGACGTAGGCACTGAGTGGAGTGTCCCCAAGTCCCTGAAAGTCCACTAACGCTGAGACCCCACGACGTCCACTGACTTTTGGTGCGGGAGCGTCACGCTCTCCATGGCAAAACCGTAGGAAAACCAGAGAAACCCAGGGCGTCCTGGAGGCAAGCAGGGTGTTTCTTGGCATGGGTATCCACCGTATACGCGCTAGTGGCCCGAACCCTCAAATGCCGAATCCCCTGGGACGTCTCGCGGTGTCCCACTCGACGTCTCTCCGGCGCCACGCGCGTGAATTTCCCAGAGGCCGAAGGCCCCCACGCCGTGGCCCAGGAGAGGGCCACAGCATGCCAGGCGGGGGCCCCGAGACGCCACGAGAGCGACCAGAGACGGCCCAAAAGGCACCCGAGTCACCCGAAAAGGGTCCCGGGAGGACTCCCAAGAGAGCTCGCAGATGCCAAGTTTACTGGTTCCCCTCCCCAAGTCTTTCAATCATTTCAGCGTTATCGACTGCTCGGGTTTCGAACGCTCCCAGACGGCCCAAGAGACCCCAACATCGCCCCAAAACGCTCAAGAGACCCCGAATACGGCCCAAACGACGCCTCCCAAAGCTCCCCAAAAGAGGGCCTAATGGTGAGAAAGAGCGTTGGGAGCAATTTCTCCAAAGATCAACCCCAAGTTTTCGCATTCCGAAAGGGTCCCCCAGACGCGACCCAGAGGTCCCCAGAGGCCCCAACAGCCCCCCCACCCCCGACTGGCACCCCGAGATGCCCCAGAAGCATCCAGGAGGCACACGGCCCCCAACCCCAGGCTCCCAGGCTAGGTGGCGGCGGGATGGACCGAAGGCCACTAGGTCACGAGTCTCCTCCTCGTCGCACCACCCGACGTGTCGGTAGGGCGGTCCAAACGTTTGACTGTGACACCTCGCGCTAGATGTCCTTACGGCGAATGGTCATGTCACTGGGTGTATCGAACGTGTACACGGTTGGAAGGCGGGCTACCTTCATCGCCACCAGGTACAATCGCAAGCACGCAGCGATTGTGAACGGCTGGACTTCAAAAGCGAAACAAAAGGTGCGAATCTCATACCCGACACGTGGCGTGACCATGCCGTACTAGAAGTGACGGGTTTGCGCATCGGGCTGGTGAACAAGGTCGCATTGCTTTTTTCGATTCCAGCCCTGCCGCGTCTGGTATCACACCTACTCGGCTCTGAGTATGTGAGGGAGCGTGATCCACCGCCGCTTTAATGTGGAAAATTGCCGCCCCCTTTTCCTCCGGAGCCCAGGAGTCCCCCCCCCCCTCCCGAAAATCCCCCCCGCTGGAACCCCTCCCCCCCCCCCCTTCCCCGGCCCCCCCCCCCCCCCTACCCCTCCCCCCCCCCCTCGAACTCGAAAACCGGGGGGGGTCACTACTGGTTCGAACCCCCCCCCTCGAAAACCGGAGGGGGGGGGGTACCGGTTCGAACCCCTCCCCACCCCCCTCTCACCGCCAGCAAACGACTCCCGGTCCCTACCACCGTCCTCACCACATCCCCCACTGTTGTTCCCAGCGCCACTGTCCTCACCACCACTGTCCCCACTGGTTCCACCACCGCCCCTACTGTCCCCACCAGTGCCACCACCACTGTCGCACTGTCCCCCACTGTCCCCGCCACTGTTCCCACCACGGTTCCACTCTCCCAACTTTCTCCACGACTATCCCCACTGTCCCCACTGTCCCACTGACTCCTCCGCTGTCCCACTGAGCTGTCCCACTGTTCCCACCACTGTCCCCACTGTCCCCACCACTGTCCCCACTGTACCTCTGTCCCATTGTCCCACCGCCGTCCTCGCCACCGCCTTCACCACTGTCCCCACCACCACTGTACCCTCCACTGTCCTACTGTTTCCACCACATTCCCACTGTCCCCACACCACTGTCCCCACCACCACCGTCCCCACCACTGTCCCACTGTCCCACTGTTCCCCACTGTTGTCCTCACCATTGTCCCCACCACTACCGTCCCCACCACTGTCCCACTGTCCCCACCACTGTCCCGCTGTCCCCTCACCACTGTCCCCACCACCACCGTCCCCACCACTGTCCGCACCACCCCTTGGTTTTCGATGGGGGGGGGGTGTTCGAACCGGCAGTGACGCCCCCCGGTTTTCGAGTTCGAGGGGGGGGGGTTCGAACCGGTAGTGACCCGCCCCCCCCCTTTTCATGATGAGCTGGGGGGGGGGAGGGGTTCGAACCGGTAGTGACCCCCCCCCGGTTTTCCAGAGGGGGGGGGGGGAGGGGTTCGAACCGGTAGTGACCCCCCCCTGTTTTCCGCCAGCAGCGGTAGAACACGCTCTTTCGAGTATGTAGACAGGGGGAAAAGGGTCAAGGGTCCCAACCCACCTGAGGGTCCGTAGGATAGAGCCGATGACGATGAGGACCCCCTCTCCTCCATGGAAGAAGTCCTCGCGAGAGGGCCAGCCGATAACTGGACCGAGATAACAAAAGAAACGAACAAAAAAACAAGACGGGGTACGCACACACAAACAAACAAACAAATCAACTAACACACCCACACACACACAAACACAAACACACACACACACACGCGCGCACTTCCTCAAACTGCCGAGTGACGTCACTACAGCAGTAGGCTAAGGCGGGCCACATTTGGTGTAACTTTCACCTGGCGCGGCAGAGATGTGGACGAAGCACTGCGAACAGCGTGAAGAGAAATGGCGATGGATGCACAAGGCGAGCACAAACGAGAAAAACAGCATACACCGTGCAAACACACACAGACACAGACACAGACACAGACGCTGATTCTGACACAGACACAGACACACACAGACACAGACACAGACACACCCAAGCACACACATACACACCCACCCACACACAAACACACACACACACGCCGACACACACACACACACCAACACACACACACATACCCAAACACAAACACACACACACACCCTCACACACACCCACACACACAAACACACACACACACTCAGCCACTCAGCCACACACCCACACACCCACACACCCACACACACACCCCACCCACACACTCACACACACAGACACACACACAGCACACGCACGCCCGAACGCTTGCACGCACGCACGCACGCGCGCACGCACCCACCCACACACCAACGAACCCAACCACCCACCCAGCCACCCAGCCACCCGCTAACCCACACACCAACTCACCCACCCACCCACCCACCCACCCAACTCCCCCACCACTCCACCACCCACACACACACTACATCCCACACGCACACACACACACACACCAACACACCAACACACCAAACACACACCACACTCTCAAAAACACACTACAACAACACATCCCCCCACACACACACCACACAAATGACACACGACACACGACAAACGACACACACAAACAACACACACACAACACACCGACGCACACACACACCCAACACAAGAGCACACACACACGCATAACACACTCACACACACACACACATCCCACCCACCTACCCTCCCACACACCCCACACATCCACACACACACACACACACGCGGACAAGACGCCAACACACCCACACTCCCACAAGCCACACACACACGAACCCACGCCACCCAACCCCACCTACCCACCCCCCCCCCCCCCCCCACCCCAACCTCCCCCCCCCCCCCACAACACACACACACACACACACACACACTCACACTCACACTCACACTCACACTCACACTCACACTTACACACACACACACACCTACACACACTTACACACACTTACACACACACACACACTTACACACACTTACACACACTTACACACACTTACACACACTTACACACATTTACACACACTTGCACACACTTACACACACTTACACACACTTACACACACTTACACACACTTACACACACTTACACACACTTACACACACTTACACACACTTACACACACTTACACACACTTACACACACTTACACACACTTACACACACTTACACACAC